CAGCAATTTGTAGACATTTTGGTCAGTCTGGGCTAGGAAAAGGCCTTGAACTGAGCTGGCTTAAATCAGAGTCCAGGGTTTATCTGTGGTTAAGTCTTTCCCTGCTCCAATCACTTTAGTGATGGTTGCATTGGCAAAAGCCAGTCAACAGTACACAACCCCTTAGACTCAGAACATCTGCACAACATGACAAGAAATCTTCCATTTACTAAGTGATAGTTTCAGCATCTGTTCTTGGAGATCCCTGCATGGTGCCAATGGGTTGCTTTCCACTACTAATCCAAAAGTGGAAGATTTGAAAGCACCAGGTGGTGCTGTGGAATAAAGGTTTGGCAATCTGCTTCCAGAAAGATGACAGATAAGAAAATCCTATGGAGCATTTCTACTTTACAACACACAGTGTCGCCATGAGTAGGAATCCATTCAACAGCAATGGAGTGGCTTCAAGAGGTATTTGGATCATTTCTTTCTTTCTGCTTCTTTTTTAAATAATGCTTGCTTTGGGGCTAAGTTGCTTATACACCTAATGGCAAGCCTCCAGTATCTTGGCTGTTAAGTTCTTTTAAGTGACAGCTTTATATGTTTTTAAGATGGAGGGAGCCAAGAACAATTTTCGAAGAGCTGTGTTGACGTTGGATCAGCTCACCTAGGCGCTGTGCCAACCTTTTTGTATGCTGCAGGAACTGGAGGTGAAAAGCAGGAAAGGCCGAGTACAGAGGAAGGCCTAACCTGGAGGACAGGAGAGCCAAGAAGGAGTTGGTGTGAAGCATGGAGAGAGACGCCAGCTGAATTTGGCAATGCAGTTAAAATACCGTCATTTAATGCTCCTCCGACATTGCATTGAGGGGTGAGAAAGAAAATCCTCTGGAGTTCGTAAAATGGTATAGACACATTCAGCAGTGAGCAGGATTTTAGATTTCTTTGTTCTAGTCTTTTCCACATTCCTTCACATGACTTTTGGACACCTAAAAGGCCTCAGCAACCTGGGTAAGAAGTCCGACCTTTCTTGAACCTTAATTTCCTTATCTAACTTGTGAGAAGAACTCCAAGTCCCCTTCCAGGCCTAAAGTTTTATGACTTATGGTGACTTAGTCAATAACTGCTGATCCATTTTCAGAAGGATAAACTCTAGGTTTTTGTGTCTGCTGGGCTGGAATGAAGACCGGGTAGGTCATGGCCCCATCTTATCAAGGCTGAGAAACTGGCTTAGATTCAGCTGGATGGGAGTTGGTTACCTTTCACTAAGTACAATCGTAAAGAAAAGTGTGTCCTTCATTCTCCAAAAGACCCCTTAATGATTTATACACGCTTTAAGTATCACCACCACCGGCAGTAGTAATGGCAAACTCTTACTGCATGCTTGTGCTCTTTGTATAAAGAGACCTTTACTCTCATACTTTGGACATACTGTCAAGTGGGACCAGTCCCTGGAGAAGGACATCATGTTTGGGAAAGTGGCAGGTCAGCACTAAAGAGGGCTACCCTCAATGAGATGGACTGGCACAGTGACAACAGCAATGGGCTCAAGCATAGCAGCAATTGTGCGGATGGCACAGGGCAGAGCGGTGTTTCCTTCGGTTGCACGTAGGGTCGCTTTGGATCAACTCAACAGCACCTAACAACTTTCTCCCTAATTTTCAGAAGAAGACAAAGCCTCAGAAATCAATTCGTTTGCCCAAGAGCACACAGTTAGAAAGTGGTAGAGGTGAGCTGTGGATCCTAATCTGTGTTAGTAAACAATATTCTTAAACACACCTAAAAATAAATGGCACTTGGTCCTTGAAGGCCCTGTCTTACCAAGGGATGTGGGCAATCTTTATACTAGCAAGCTTTCTCTTTCTCTTTCGAAAAATCAATGCTGGATAAAAGTAGCCAATGAGAGCATTTGACAGCACAGATGCGAGGAGGTGTGGGGGACTGTTTCTGAGACCCTCAGCCTGTCTTAGGGAGATCTGTAAGCCTGCTCCAACTTTTCTTCCAACCTTTGGATTTTATGTTCCCTCTTGAAGTTCTTTTTATGACTTTGGGGCTGCTGGGGGTCCTTGGCACCTCCTTCCCCTTTGGGGGGCAGGGAAGTGGAGACAGCTTGGAAGCCGTTTGAAACCATTCTCATGTTGTAAATAGGTCCCATGTAGCCCTAAGAGTCTATGAAATTGTTTCAAAATGGCTAAGTGTGATTATGCGTCCTGAAGCCAAATGTTATAAAAACCCCATGGTCGCAGATTGGAAAAGTAAATACGTAGTAAATGTTTTTCAGCTGTTGATAGGATACAGTACTCAATCACTGTGGTAAATTTCAACAAGACATTGAAGAGTACCTACTCCCCTTTTCTCATCCCTCAGTGTTTTGAGTTGAAGACAAAGCGGCAATCCTCTTTCTGACTGTCACAGTCCCAAGAGGTAAAAAAAAAAATATATATCCACCTTTTCATCTCTAACCACCACATTCTTTCTCTAAGCCTGTAATTGGATCTAGATGGAAAGTAAACCCTTTGCAGGCTAAGGAGGTTGGCACTATAAGGTGTCAAGGAGAACATGTTCCACCTCTAATCCAGATAATTGCACTCTCCTATGCAAAGGAAAAGAAAAACAAGGCTTCCTGTAAGCAGAGGCCCCCAGCCTGCAGTGAGGAGGGGCAGTTTACACATACCCTTGTTTCATTTCACTCATTAACCATCCGCCAGCTTGTAGTAAAAATACCCAGAAATCCAGAGCACAGTGGGATTCTGTTATTTTAGCCCTGAGCTCTCTCACCCACCATGGCTGAATTTGGGGAGGCTGAATTTGGGGAGGCGGTTTAGACACATAAAAATCTCAGTACTACAACAAATTAAATAATAATGCCTGTTGTTGTTGTTAAGTACTAAGTTGGCTCTGACTCATAGTGACCCTGCACAAGGTTTCTGAGGCTGTAAATCTTCACGGGAACAGAATGCCTCATCTTTCTCCCGCGGAACCACTGATAGTTTTGAACTGCCGACCTTGAGGTTAGCAGCCCAATTCGTAACCACTATGCTACCAGAGCTCCTTAATAATGCCTAAGATGTACTATATGCAAGTGCTGTGGTGGTAGCCAGTTAGATGCAAGTAGCTCACAAGCTTTCTGAGTTTTGCGGTGTCCACTGTACTGTACTGAACAGAGGTCAGCAAGAAAGGTATGTCCTCAAGGAATCCAAGAAATATTCAGGGAAATAAGACGAATGCATGCATAGTTCACTACGAGGGAGAAATGAATAGGTATTGAGGAGCCCTGGTTAAATGTTAGGCTGATAACTTCGAGGTTGGCAGCTCAAAACCACCCACTACTTTGCAGGAGAAAGATAGGGCTGTTTCTCCCCATTAAGTTTTACAGCCTCTGAAACCCTATGGAACAGTTCTCCTCTAACCTATAGGGTTACCATGAGTCGGTATGGACCCCACTGCACTGAGCTAAGGTCATAGGCATTGTAGAAAGGTCTAAAGTGTTATGAAAACTCCATAGATGGAAAGATGACTTGATTCTGGAAATAGTCTGGCAAATGCAACACGGCCTGGTACATTCCATTGAGATGCCCTGATCCAATGTGGCTTGGTGTGCAGATTCAGAAGGGCACAATGTACTCTTCATGTGCGGTCGGTGTGAGGGCTCACAAGTAAAGTGAATGCTCGCCTCCAAGTGGCAGGCTTGCATTTTATGTTCACTCCACTATAGTGCTATTTTAAGTCTCCCATTTTAATCCACAGATATGAGTGCAGATGTGGCACTAAAGGGTAGATAGACACTGGACTTGGAACCATAAGGTTGGTGATTCAAACCCACCAGCCACTCCTTGGGAACCCTATACAGGGTGGCTATGAGCCTGAACCAACTCCATGGCACTTAACAATGATACATCTAAGGATGATTTTTTTCCCCACAAGATGGAATCAGTTTAGAAATACTGACTTGGGAGGGACACCATCATTGGTACTGCTGCTGGGACGGAGGCAGGAACTTATTGCATGTTAGAAACAGGGAAACTGAGGCTCAGAAAGGAGACTTGGGCAGTATTGCACAGCTAACAAGTGTGGTGCTGTGAATTAAAGCACTGGACCTCAAGGTGGGTTTGAATCACAAGGTCAGTGGCTCAAACTCACCAGCTGCTCCTTGGAAACACTATACAGTGTTGCTATGAGTCAGAACCAACTGGACAGTACCAACAACAAGAGCAGCAAGTGAGGGAGCCAGGTTTGAAAGCAGATCTCCTAAGGCTCTCCTTATACTCTGTTGCCTGCTGAAGTCAACTCTCTGAGACCCTGGGCCTCAGTTTCTCCATCTGTAAAGTAAGGGTGCTAGCTTAGGTTGTCTTCCAGCCCCACCCCTCTTCCTGCTGACAGACGCTCTCCAACTGTGCTTCAGGTGAGTGGGGAGCACTGGCACTACAGGGACAGCTGCTAGCCCCCCCCTTCATTTCACCCGTGACCTTCTGGGCTCCTGGCCAGCCATTCTTGAAAGAGAAACGTGCAGACCCTAGGGGCTGAAATTAGTTCCTTTGTGCTAGAACTGTTGCCACTGCCAATAAAATTGAATAAAGAAGCTAGGAGTTGGGGTGGGGGCGAGGATGGAGGCAACAAAATGCAAAAATGCAAACCAAGGTGGGGAGGAGTTCACTAGAATGAAAGCCAAAGGGGAGAGAAATATTAGCCCCTCCAATCCCTACTGCAACCATCAGAGGTGGCGCACAGAGGGCTCAAGGAAACTAAGATTTCTTTTTGCCCTACAGCCCACAGGATTACAAAACCATCAAAAAAATTTAACTGAATTAAATTTCAATTGACATCACCAATTAAATAGCCAATGCAAATTTTTCACAGAGGCATTTTAATGTATAGGCAAGGATGTGTCTATTAGCTCAAAAACAAATTCCCAACTGTTTCGTCAACTTTGAAGACTTAGAATCCAGTAAGTTTTTTTCTCTGGATGGGAGTGGGAAGAGAGCAAAGAAAAGAATCTGAGCAAATACAGACACATCACAGTTTACCTTTTGAACTCCAGGGTTGAGGTCCTTAGCCACCTTTGCCATCTTCTAGGCTGGAGAAACTACACCAAGCTTCCCTGGTGGAGACGCGAGGGCGCGCAGCTGGGATCTCAGTGACTTGAATGGCCAAGTTCGCGGGGCCGCAGCGGGAGCTCTGAGCACAACCAGACGCGCCTGGGTCTCTTTAATTGGAGAGCAGGACTCCCTCTAAAACCTGGACAACCAATCCGAGAGGGTCCTCGCACTTGACCAGCCAATCCCGATGCTAGACTGTCCCCCGCCCCCCCACACCCCCACGCCCTCATCCCTTGGGTGTCTCTAGCAGTCAGCCCAGCACAGCTCTGCCCTGACGTCAGTGTGGCCACGGCCCTTGTCGGGGCGGCTCACATCTGTCCCTTCATTGCCGCAGGAATCCAGCCCCACGCCCTTCTCCTTTAAAGGAAAGGCGCAGAGGGTGGGGCGAGCGGCTGAGTCCCCTCGCTCCATTCAGGTCAAAAGGGAGAGCGATCAAAGGGGAAGTCTGGGGTATTTTTAGTGAGCTGGGTCCAAAAATAAATCCTGAGCCGAGTTCCCCTGCCCACCCTTTCTGCCTTGTAGTGGGTGGAGGAGAGAAAGAGGCAAGGCAGGTGCTTTGAGGTGGCTTTGACTCAGCCAACTAATTTCTCCCCAAACTGGCAAGATCTCTAGTCACCAGGGAGTAGAAGCGATTCCTGGAGATGATGATGTGTTAACTAAATTGGAGGAGGCAGCCCCTGCCGAGATTTACCGTCTCTCAGAAACTCTATATAGGGGCTCTATGAGTCAGCATACACTCAAGGCAGTGGGTTTGGTTTGGTTTCGGTTTAAGGAGGAAAAGGGCTCTAATAAGAAAGACCTCGATTTCGACGGCAGCCCCCAAATAAGTGAGTTATGATCCCAGTGTGTTAGGATTTTTAAACTTAAAGTATTAAACTGCAGTCTCATAACTGGCTTTAACACAAATCCCCCTCCCTGTGGAGTGAGGAAGAGAATGCCATACAGAGAATACTATACTGATTTTATACATGCCATCGAGACTCCTGAACTCTTCACACACCTTTTTTCATTGCGCTCACATATGATCCCGGCTTTGATGTCAGCTGCCATTGATTTGGTCCACAACACACATTTACAACAAAACGCAGCGCTGCCCTGATCCTCCTCCATCCCCAAGATGGGTGGAATTGTTGGGATCTACAAGGTTTTCATTGGCTGATTTTCAGAAGTAGATCACCAGGTCTTTCTTCCTCCACTGAGGCTGTGCATGAGGAGCATGGATCAGAATCAAGCCTGTGTCTTCCAGTGAACCACCACTGCTTGCTGAAGAAGAAAGCACTGTCCTAATCCAGTAGATGTCAAGTTGAACATTGTCCCTCCGATGCACCAACTACTGAACTCTTCACATATCATTCTGTTGTCTCTCTCACACAGTCCCTCAAGATCACCTCAAATGTCATTATTATTCTCACTCTTGATTTACGGCTGAGATCGGAACAGAGAGGATTGCTGGCCCAAAACTGAACTCAGCAAAGCTTTGCACCTGAGAGTGAGCATTAAAAGTTGAGCGAGGAAAAGGGTAGGAAATGAACATTTTTGAGATAAATTGAGTCATGCTGACCTGGACAAGTGAGAGCACACCTGTAAATTTCTCCCATCATTTGGATGATGTGTGCTTATAACTTCTGCCATGACCACTTGAGTAAGAAAGTTGGACAAGCCTTCCTCTCTCTGCGGATTGCTGGGTCTAGAAATCCACATCTGTTTTGACCCAGTTCCACAGACTTGGGCTCCAAGAGCTGTTTCGTTTTTTCCTGCCTAGACAGAGAATCAAACATAAACCTCATTTATCCTGGGGAGAATACTGCTCTGCCTGCCATGAGGAGTTTGTCCTATAAGCCATGATGGCAGTGCCCCCTGCCAGAAACCAGGACTCACTTGGTGACAGGAAGACTGGAGTTGTTAAGTACTGTCAAGTTGGTCCTGACCCATAGTGATCCTATATATGATTACTAAGGAGCAACTGGTGAGCTTGAACCACCAACCTTGCAGTTCAAACCGACTTAGCAGCACAGTGCATTAACCCACAGTGCTACAGGAAAGTCGTCTCAAATTACATCATTTTGAACTGATAAGAGTGTTATGTGTACAAGGTACCTTCTCCAACTTTATTTTGGAGACTCTTTTCTCTCTAAAACTTTCAATTTAATTCTGAACACATGATCTTTTTGAGCACCCTTAAATCTTGACCGATGAAGCCAAATCATGATTTCCTTTTCTATGTTTGTGGAGGTGTACAGTTTGTGATTTCCTCTTTTATCAGATAAATCCATTTTCATGGTTTTCTTCCATAATTGAGATGTTTGTTTTGTTACCAGCTGTCTCCTCATGCAAAGCGTGTGATAGATCAGGGTGGGGAGCGTCTGGCCCTCAGGTCCTATTGTTGTTGTTATACAGTGCTGTAGAGTTGGTTCTGACTCATAGAGACCCTGAATAGGGTTTCCAAGGAGCAGATAGTGGATTTGAAGTCCCACTAAATCATTTGGTCTGACCCTGTTGTGGCAACCACAATTCCAGCCATCACATTAGGAGTTAACTAAATGTTTGACCAAAGAGAACAGGTTAATTTTTAAGTTGTTAATTTTGTATGGTCCATGAATGATGTTGCATGCGAAAGCTGGACAGTGAATAAGGAAGACTGTTAGAAGAATTGATGCCTTTGAGTTATGGTGTTGGAGGAGAATAATTGAAAGTGCCATGGGCTGCCAAAAGAACCAATAGATCCGTTTTGGAAGAAGTGCAGCCAGAGTGCTCCTTAGAGGCCAAGAAGGCCAAACTTCATCTCTCATACTTTGGGCATATTGTCATGGGGGGGAGGGAAAGTCACTGGAGAAGGATATCATGTTTGGTAAGGTAGAGGGTCAGAGAAAAAGAGGAAGATCCCCAACGAGATGGACTGGCCAAGTGGCAGCATCAATGGACTCAAGCGTGGCAACAGTAGTGAAGTTGGCCCAGGACCAGGCAGTGTTTCGTTCTGTTGTGCATAAGGTCACTATGGGTCAGTACCGACTCGATGGCACCTAATAGCAAAATGAATGATGTTATCAATTTTGGCAGAAAAAAGGTTCCTCACCCCTATGATAAATGTTCAGCATGCCTTTGTTGAATGAATGCATATTGGGTTCTGATTCTTCATCAGCGGGGAGCAGGGTAAGGTAAGGTAGGGGTAGTCATTTCCTAGGGTTACTGTAACAAAGGTACCACAAACTGGGTGACTTAGAAGAACAGAAATTTTTGTCTCATGGTTTTGAAGCTGAAAGACTGAGACCAAAGTGACAGCTATTTTGATACTCTGAGGCTTTGTGGGAGAATCTGTTCTGTGCTTCCCTGTCTCCTAGCTTCTGGATGCTCCACATGTCTCTTGAGTTGAAACTACAGCATCTCACACGGTGCCCTTCCCTCTGTCTCTTTGTCTCTGTGTCCGTCTCTTTTATTAGGATACCAGTCACATAAGATTAGGACTTACCCTCCTCTAGTATGACTTCATGGGAATCTAACTGATAACATCTTCAAAGACCCTATTTCCAAGCAAGGTCATAATCACAGGTAATGTGGGTTAGGACCTTAACATAGTTTTTTTTCAGGGACCCAATTCAACCCATCTCAATGGGAATAGGGAAAGATGGAGTACTACTACACCCTGCCCAAGTTGTTCCTATTCCCTGGTATACTGCATGACAAAACACTATATAAATCAACAGTGGCCAATAGAATTTTGGAAGGGCGGTAGGGGAGGGAGTGAGGTTTCCAGGTGAAGAGCCTATTTAGTAGCAAATCCCAGGAATAATACAGAACTGAACTCAGATGTGTCACCAGAAGCCATTATGTTTGAAAGCTGAGGGAACAGAAGCCGGGAGCAGAACAAAGGCAAGCTTTATCCCTTTGAAACTCTGCAAAAAGCCATCCCTCTGAAGTCATTTCCCACTCTTGCCAGCCACCCTTCTTGCCTCATCTTGAGAAATCATTCCCCTGATTAATCCTGACTTTTTGACTCTAACACTGTTTAGCTCTGGCTAAAGTAGTCCCTTCTCCCAGCCTTATTTTTGCCAATGGCCTTAGTACAATTAAGAAGGCAGATACTCGACAGTTACTTAGAATGGAGGAGGACCTAGTGTTTGCAGTAGCCATTTCATCTCTTCTGGACAAGGACCTGTTGTGTGCAGAGAGGTAATCCCTGCTTTGTGCTAGAGCTTTCTTTCCTCGTAGCTGAGGTGGCTGACTCAGACTCTTTTTATTCTAGTCTTGACCCAGACATTCTGAGGGCCAGTAATCAGAGACTTAATTCAACATCTGGACAGACAATTATAAATTGTGGCTGCTATAGAAAACAGGAAATCTGATCATTGGTCCCTCAGCCTCACTCTGACTTTGTGATCCTCCTAGCCTCTCTGGAAGACAATGGGGTAGCTTCGTCAGGGTAATACATAACACAGATCTGGTTTCTTCTAGGTTCATTGCTTTGTGGTGGTGGGAATTATTAGATGAGTTTATTCATCCCTCAGTTTGGGGACATCTTTGTTAAGTACTTGGGGACATCTAGGTAAATGGATCCCTGACCTTTAAGAGGAATCCTGGTGTGGCACTGTGGGATAAAGCCCTGGACCATAAGGTTGGTTTAAACCACAAGGTCAGCATTTCAAACTCACCAGCCACTCCTCAGAAAATCTACACAGGGTGTTTATGAGTCAGAATTGACTTGATGGCACTTAACAACAACCTTTAAAAACTTTCTGGTCTGATAACTGAAATTGGAGCTCTCTGGTTGACAAAAAATCACTTTATTTGAACTTAAAGATAAAAGCACTGTGGGAGAAAACCGAAAGTCATCACTGTCAAGGGTTTTATCCAAGGCCAAACAGCTATTAAGTGACAGGACTGAAATTTGAATTTAGGCCCTGGTGTGGCATTGTAGGATAAGCAGTGGACTGCTAACCATAATTTTGGTGGTTCAAATCCATCAGCTGCTCCTTGGAAACCCTATTTTGCTATAAATTGGAACCGACTTGATGACACTTAACAACCACAACTCCAGA